TTCCTACGGACTTCCTTCTACTGTCCCAGGGCGTTATTTCCTGATGTTCTCCATGGTGCCAGATTCTGCCTTTTCACATGACACATTCTCATCATCTGCCGGACATCCAGGGCTCTTCCAAAGAAACCAGGCATCATACATGGTTTGAACTTATATGCAGAGCCTTAGTTGTCACGGATGTGCTACATTTTGTTGTATTCAACATCAGCCTCCTGTCCTTATGGGTGTTTGGGATAATAATCACAACATCACCTCTTATTTGAGAGTTAAGAAGCTATGGAGAGGTGTCTTAGTCACTTTCTTGTAACTGTGATAAAATGTGTGACAGAAACAACTTATAAGAATATTTTAGCTTAGTGTTTCTTAGGGTTAATTCACTTCAAAGTTTTTTGTTCCAAATTGGTTGGGACCTCAAGGCCAGGGAAATGTGTGGTAGAGACAAGATATTAACTTTGTGGCTGACCATAAGGCACAGAGACTCAGGAAGCAACTGAGGATAATAGGTTTCTAACAGCCTCCCCACAGTGACCTACTTCCTCTACTTAAAGTTTCCACCACCAGTTAAGGACCAAGTATTCAAACTATCAGTTTGTGGGGGACATTTCAGATTCAAATCATGGTAGCTGAGTACCTACCAAGTGTGGTCCACAAGTATGAAGGAACTGCAACCTTGAAATACCAAAACAAGTCAGAAACTATTGCCAAGATTTCATTCTACAATAAAAAAAAAAAAAATGAGACTCAGGAGATAGCACAGTTTGGATTTGGTGCCATTAGCAAAAGGAAGTCATAAGAGGCTAGGGAACAAAAAAGTGGTGATGAATAGAGAAACTGGATATGTTCTTTTGATTTTTAGTCTCCAAACGTGACTCCTCCCTGGGCCCCTACCTGGGCAGACACCCCACAAAATTCCAGAGGCTACCAGTTAACTCCTCCTCTCACCATTTGTCATGTGAACTTTCAAACACTTGGCATATGTTCACAGGAATATGATTGAATAGCAGGTGGCTGCTGAATTTTTTCAAATCCATGAAGGTCCAGGTTTGGGTCAGACCAAAGGCAGGGCCTATATATGCCTTGGCATAGTGCCTCTGCACTCTAATAACTCATCCTCAACCCTTTGACAGACTCTCAGTAGTAGAGCCAGGAGCTTCCTGAGGGTGGGAGCTCAGTTTCTTGAGACTTCTATGAGATTCCTCTCTTTGCCTAGACTCTCAATCCAGAACTGTATCTACTAAGTGGGTGGATACACACCAAGCTTTGAGACTCAGTTTCTTAGTATTCTGACACTTTAAGATGTGAGCCAATGGACACATGACTTTATCGTTATGAAATTACCATTTCATTATCTAGAACCTGGTACACACACATATTCCTGCAGGTAAAGCAAAATGTATAGGAAAATATGCTATTAGCTTAAAACTTAGGACTGCATTTTGGGTGACAAAAGAACCCTGGCTATCTTAACCCATCTATTCAGCGAAGAGAACCCTGCTTTATCAACCTTGGAAGCACCCTCTCTGACAACCATGATGAACCCATTTTTCCAACAAACACAGAGAATCCATGTTTCCAACAGTAACTTATAGGAACACTCACTATGCCTCTGTGGTTACCTGGAAGACAGCCACATACATATCTGGACCACAGTGCCCCTTGATGACATGACCCAAGACTGGTTCTGTGGTGCTAATACCAAGCTCTTTGCCTGACCTTCATCCTTCCTAACATTTGTTTAGGTCCTAAACCTCGTAAAAATGTGATGACAGCTCTGTGTCCTTTTTCCAGGGTGTGCACAATCCTCTGGCTAGCCTCCCCTCCCCATTTTCCTAGAAAGCTCCAGGAAAAACAGAATCTATGAACAGTCACTGAGTAGAGGTGCCACACCAGTTAGAGTGGGTACCACAGAGGTGCACAAAGCAGGCCCAGGGTTGTCCTCCTGGGATGTAACTCAGAGGCCAACTGCTGCTGAGTGCTGGAGAGAAAACAAAGCAAGGAAGGGGAGAGGAAGTGCCAGAGATGGGTGTAGGGCTTTGAAACATTACACGGGGTGGCCAGGTGACATTTATATCAAGATTAAAGGAAATGGGGGAGCTGACTTATCTGGGGGGAGGTTAATGTCAGCCCTAGGAATGAGCTAGTCCACAGGACCTAAGGTGGGAAGGACCTAGCCTGTTGAAGAAGAGCCAGGAAGCTCATGTGGGGTGATTCATGGTGATGGAGGAGACAGGGAGATGCATGGTGATGGAGGAGACAGGGAGATGTGTCCTACTTGGCCTTCAGTAGCCTTCAGCTTTGCATTGTCCTGTGGAATCAATAACTATTTTGCACAGCAAGAAAAAGAGGAGTCTACAGGTGGGAAGAACCTGGGCAATCTTGTTCCTGGAGTTAGCCATTAGGAGATGCACGAGGCTGGAAGCAGAGGCTATCCACAGAGAAGTAGAGATTGAGAGCGTGGCTTTGTTTTGAAGTCAGAATTTCTGTAGAACTAGAAGGGGTGTATGCAGCTGAAAGAGAAGTATCATTGAAATCTCGAAGGAGGTGGTCCTAGATAAGTTAAAGAAATGTAATGCCTTGAGCTGAGAGCTTGAACTATGGGTTAAGCATGCTAGGGGACCAGTAGGGGTCTGGCTAAGTCGGGTGAAGACAAAGCCCCCACCGGGCTAAGTTCCTGTGTAGTATGTGATGACTAGTGTTTTTTTTTTTTTTTTTAATTAGTAGTGCCAGGCAGTTAGCCTTAAGACAGCTACACTGCTGTGATCTGTGCTTCCTTCCCAAGACACTGGAGGAATGGTCATCACTGCCTTCCTGGAGGAAGCAGAATGACTTGAGGCTTGAATGGTACACCACCAGAAATAGAACTCCATCTCCCACCTTCTTGGCTAGTACGCATTTAAATAAGAACCCATGAACAATGCTTCATAGTGGCTGGCTATCCTACTCCTTTTGACTCTGTTTAATCAGATGCCCTTTAAGAGACACTAAAGCTCTCTCGGCCATGGGAGCCCTAGATGAGGTCTCCTTTCTGTGAGTCCTGGAGGTACCCTAGATTGGCTCACTAGCAATCTATAGCTTTGGTGATAACTGCAGATCCAAAGTAGAAAAGATTGTACCCAGCTACAATGTATTCCTACCAAACTACCAGGCTGAGAAAGGCACCTCCTTCACCCATTGGATGGTTCCCCATGGTATTCAGCATCTGTGCCTTGAGTTCAGGCCCAGGCAGAGCTGGGTCACCACATAATAGGGAATTTTGGTTGTTGATGATGATTCTAGAAGTTTCAACAACCTCCTCCCATTGTCCTATGTCCTAGAGTTAGGGAGGGGATGAAAAGAGGGGCTGAATAGGTCACAGCCCCACCCCTTTATGGACTGGGGCTCCCTCTGATAAGCAGACAAGCACCAGTTGCTACTACTTAGGGGTAGCTGCAGGAGCCCAGCACTGGCTGTATGAATCCTTGTGACATTCCCCTACAGTGTTCAGCCCCTGATGCCACTGCTATTCAGCTACTGGTGCCACCAGGGATAGTTCAGGTTAGTAACAAGTCTGGGTCAGGTACGCTGAAGAAGAGGGACAGCCTACTTTCAGAGAGCAGAGGTGGAAGTCTCCAGACTTTGTGTCAGGGTAGAGGACATACTGGCCAACCAGTCAGGTTACAAACAACTCACGCTACTGCAGAAGCCACAGGTGTTGGTCCTGTGATCAACTCCACCACAAGCAGCTAGTCTAGCTTGGTTTTCGCTTGCCCTGAGCCTAAAGAAAGAGGCAGAGTGATAGAGAGACTGGCCTGTGTGCCTGAGTTCCGGGAGAAGCTTACTGGCAGGACGACAACCAGCCTCTGAGCTGAGGACAGAAGGGGGAGAAGGGAGAGTTAGGAGGGGGATGTCAAGGAGGGAGTAAGAACAAATGCTCCCATCTGGGCTGGGCTGGGCTGGGGTGGTAGTGCTTAGGTCAATGGCTGACACTCGAGAGCCTAGGTCCCCGCTGTAGTCACTGCTGGCCGGTTTGTTTGACCATCCATGTACGAGTTATTGATGCGCCTACAGACACGGTGTGTGGAGGGAGAGTGAGACCTGCAACACCTGTGCAGCTGCTACCCAGTGCAGATAAGCGCCCTTACCTGGAGGGGGAGGGGCAAGCGACAGCTTGGGTTTCAGAGTGAAGCTGTGCAGAGACGGGGAAGGGTCTCCCTCTTCACCATCACCCCTCTATCTCTGTCAATTTTCTCTTGGGTTCTGTCGCTCGCTCACCCTCTGTCTTTAATCTATCGAGCTATGTCTCGATCATTCTCTCCCCTTCTCATGGTTGAGGGCTGGCTTTCTGCCCACTCACACTCTTCTGCCAGTTGGTAAGTCCATACCCTCACTAGCCACCAGCTTGCTCTGTTTCAAAGCCAACTGGAAAAGTCAACCTGAGGCATGCGGCTTTTCTTCTAGGCCCAGGGTCTCCTGTGACCCTGGGTGGCTCCATCCCATTCTTATGATTGGGCTTGCCTTCTAACCCCATTGTTACCTCTCCCATCAGGGCACAGCCCAGTCAAGCCACTTCTTGACTTCGCTGGTATAGGTCACCCTTTACCTCCTATGGAGCCTTAGAGGTAAGTGTGCCCTCGCCCTTTCCATTTGTCTGGTTTCTCCCAGCTGCCCCTGTAGCCCTAAGGGAGAAATGAGGCAGGCTGCCACTGAGAATCCAGCCTGCTGTTCCTTTGCCCAATAAAATATGTCTACAGGATTTGGGAAGTCCCTTGGGCGACCTGCTCTTAGGTTGCTTGTGTCTACAACCTGGTCTGGAAAACCTGCATTTCAAGGCTGGAGGCCGGTGGGATCGCAGACAGGGTAGCGCAGCTTCTCCTTTAAGACCGGAGCTGCTCGTCGCTGTGAGTGTGAGGGTGTGTGAGTGTGCGGCGTGCGTGTCTCCTCCTCCCCGAGTGACACAGCAGTGAGAAATGCCTATCAGTAACTTAAACCCCCGAAACTCCACCTTCCGGGCGCGCGGCGCGGAGCCGGGCGGTGGGAATGGAGCGAGCAGATTGAGGCCGCCACTGCAGCGCCGCCAGCATGAACTTGGCCGAGAGCTGAAGCGGCGGGCGGCGGGCGGGCGCGGGGGCACCGGCCGCTAGCCAGGGGGTGATCTTCAATCCGCCTGGGCCATTCAGCGGGCGCCTCGGGGTAGGCTGCCCGTGCCGGCGGCCGCCCGCCCCTCTGGCTCTGCCCTGGCTGCCACTGAAGCTCCGCAACACGGTAAGGGTGAAGGCGGATGCGGGAGGTCCGACTGCTTGGGTGAGGGGACTCCAGGGTGCACTTATAGCCCCCATTTATGGTCTCCATCTTTGAGGATCCAGGACCCCGGGGATGCTGTGAGATGGGAGCCCCCAAAGTTTGCTCTGAGCACACGGCCCACCTGGCGCTGAGGGTTGCCCCCCCCCCCCAGACTGGCCTAACTAGGGAGAGCTTAGGTCTCAACATCGAAGGTCTTTGGCCCCTTCCTTCTTTTAGGTGCCCCAGAGGGAGTCCAAAACTGGGCGGAGGCGGCTGCATTCCGAGGAGGAAAGGTACAGAGGGGTGCAAGCTGCGCGGGCTCCACAGGCTACATTAGGTTATGAGGAGGCACCCTCTCCATCTCCATACCCCAGGGCCAGGGCCGCTCGCTCACTTTCCCAAGGTGCCATCAGAGACACTGTCTTTCCCTGCCAGCTCCAGAGTCCAGCAGTGGGCACTGGATAAGGAATTTCCCCACCCCAAATCGATTTGCTGCCGCGGAAAAGAGTGTGGGGTGTGCGCGTTGCCCTGCGCTTCCCCCACCCCATTTACCAACTCCTCCTCATGAAAGCAGCCTGGAGCAAAGCTGGGGGCCTGAGGCAGCCCCTGCTGATTCCCCACCCAGCCTTCCCAGAGCCCCTGCACTGGAATTGGCGCTCCAAGCTCCTGGGGCATTCTCTCAGCGACAGAGCCGGGCGCCAGGCTCTGCCTAGGGCGGGTGGGAAGCCCCCCGGAGCGCCGCCAAATACTTTTCTTGGCCACTTGGTTTGGCCAGGTTCCGTCCTGATGCAGTGAGTCTGAAGCCTGGAAAGCTAGCGGTGCTGTCTGATTCTGATCCGTGATTAAATTCGGACTGAGCGGACACTAATAGGATTATCCAGACGGAAAACTCGGCCCTAAAGCCATCGAAACCTGGGCAAACAGACGCGCCTCAGTCTGGGGGGATTCACTCCCCACTGGGCTCCTGCAGCTGGGTGCGGCTGAGTCGGGCACCCTGAATGTGGGTGTGTGAGAGCAAGGGCAGGAACACGGAGTGGCTAGAGAACCTTGGAAGATTGGATTCCAGTTGCTGGGGTAGCCTGTTCTTGTTATTTGGCAGCAGAAGGAACCCCTTGGAGTACCGTCCCTAAGCCAAATGTTCCCTTTGCGGGTAGCTGACCAAGGCTGGTTCCGGGACATTGTCTGTAAGGGCTAGAGAGCCTAGTGGATAAGAGCCGGTCTTGCTGTAACAAAGAGGCAAAGTCTCTGCAAGCCTCAGCAATTCTCAAAGAGTTTGCTAGAGAGAGGGCCAGGGTCTTCCAGAGAAGACCCCTGCTGGAATCATGTCTCCCCCATCAGCCTCGGGCCATGGCTGCTACTCGTGTTCCCTGACTGCGGTGGGTGGATGGGAGCATCACAGCAGCTCGGCCCAGTTTCTTGGCAGGCGCAGGCTCTCGCTCTGGTGCCCACTGACCGGGTGGGGTCTTACCATGCACCCACCAGGTCTTCCCGGCTGCCACCGCTGCTATGGGCCCCTGGAGGCCATGTAGCTTCTTTCCTTCCCTCCCTCCCACCTCTTCTTGTCTTTATAGATTCCCCCCTCCCTCCCACCCCCGCCGCCGCCGCCGCCAACAATCCGCTTTATAAAAAGCCCCTTTGTTTCCCAGGAGGCTGGAGAGAGGGAAGGGGAAAGGGACTCAGAGGCAGAGGGCGGGGGAGGCAGCTTCCAAGTAGCTTTGAGCCGCTCGGGACAGGAGGGCTAGTGCAGGCAATGGAGAGGGTTCTATATTTTGAGTACCCTCTATAGAAACCCGGGAAGTCTTGGGAATCTTGTCCCGGGCGTGCTCTATGCGCTTGGTTGGCCAGCCTTGGACACCCTAATTCCCTTCAGGCAAGACTGTCTGGCCCGCTGTACAGGGGAACAGGCAGGAACCAGGCAGGAGGCAATGGTGAATGCTCAGCAGGGTGGGCAAATGTTGCAGGTCCCTGTGATGACAGAGCTTGGGCATAGGGGGCGCCCTTTCCTCGGTTTCGCTTTGCTTTGGGGAGCCCCTGTCAGCCAAAAAACCTAGGGTGGCTGTTGAGCCTGTAGGCGGCAGAGACACTGGTAATGACTTGAGGCTTTATCCACCTTGTAATTTAACTACATCCCTCTTTATTCCTGCTCCCCACTATCATACCCCCCCCCCCACACACACACAGGACAAGATTGAAACTCTCTGCGGGTGCCCTTTGTTTGAGTCGGGAAGTGACTAGCCACCTCTAGGGTAATCTGGGGCTGGAAGTGAGAATACTAAAGCTTCCAGAGACTACACATTGGCCTGTTGCATCTATACAAACACAGGGTCTGGCAACAAGGGGTGGCCAAAATGTACCGGCAGGCATCTGGTTTTTAGCTGGACTGAGGATGTATGGGCTCTGTCTCTTACACATGCTTCCCCCCACCCAGCAAATTTGGGAGAAAACAGACCTTGCTGGGTGGGATGTTAAGCCTACCATTACAAGTAACCTTTCACAACCTGTCAGCCTGATCTTCCAGGCTTCTTGAAAAAGATCCACTTCTCTCTACCTGAATGTCCTCTGGGAAGGCAAGACTACTGATAAGAAGAAAGTGACAAATAAGAAGTAAGCAGGGCCTAACTCAAGCTAGTGGGTCTCTAGAGTAGTTCTACTCCTCTTGATCCCTCCCTGCCTCCTGTCCCCATCTGCCTTTAATCTGATGTTTAAGTCTTTGTGAGTGTGAATGCCCCCCCACATTCCTTTTTTGCATCCTCCTGCTCCATTCACATACCAATAAGCTGCAGAGTTTATTGATAAGTGTATTATCTGAACATTTATTTTTTGGTCTTTGGAGTAGTAAGTGAAGTGGTAACTCACACACACACACACACACACACACACACACACACCCCAATTACATCTAAAATCATAAGTAATCAAAGGGTGAACTACTGGTTCTACCATCTCCCCCTTTTGTGCATTTCTTCTGGAGCAAGATCATTGGAAAATAAATCTGCTGATGTGCGAGATGGAACATATGGTACCTCCATAAGAGAGAAGCTGAAATGGCCTTGAACCTGCCGGACAGACCAGCTGTTTGCTGCCAGCTAGAGCAGCTAATCAGCGTTTTCCCTTTAAAGTAACAGCCCTCTTTTCTGTTGATGACCAGTAGCATATTAAATAGGATGTTCTCCAGAGGGGAAAAGTGATGGGATTCTACATTATTTTGTGCTTTTGCAGCTCTCTAGTGTTTCTTTCCTGCTCTGGGGGGCTTACCTTGCCCTCCAGCTATACCTGTCTCCAGCTTGGGCATGTTTCCTCTGGTATTTATGAGAATGTTGCTCATAGCACAAGTTGGGAATCAGGAAAAGGGAAGAAAGAGATGGAGCCGAGAGTTCCAGATGCCTGGAAGAAATGTGTCTGTTTTGTACCTACTGGTGTTGGAAACATTAATAGTGCTTTCCCTCGTCTCTCTTTTAAAACATCTTAAGAGCTGAAGGGCTTCCTTACAAGATCTCCTTTATAACCATCCTCTTCCGGCTAGGACCATTTTCAGTTTTCCTTCAGTACAATGTGTTTGGGGGGGCAGTTAGGCGTTGGAAGAAAGGCTTTAGAAGATACAAGGAAATTCCATGTTAGGAAATCATTAGCAAAGGGTGACTTTGTTTTCCTGCCACTGACGCTGACAGTGACACAGATGTGTGGGTTGAAACAGGAACGTCATTGAATTTTTAAACTCAACCAGGAAATAGCCTGTTGCTGGAGTTGGGGGGGGGTTACACATTCATTGCTTGTTAAGATAGGAGGTTTGCTGTCGCCAATCCTTTTCAGTAAAGGAAAGGGAATTTTCAAACCCAGCAACACATTTAATGTCTTTTCCCCTCTCTATATTTGACTAGCTAAAGCTTAAAATGCACCTGTTAGTGAATCATGCCTAGGAACTGCATTACTATTTAGGGTTAGAAGATGAACAAAAAATTGATCATAAACAAGTGGTTCTTCTGGCAGTAGTTGGACTACTTTTTAAAGGGGGTTTACATATGTAGTAAACATTTTCGATTTCAGTGATTCTGATTTTTCTTTCCCCGAGACAGTGTATGATGGATAAAATAATCTGACTAGAAGCTGGGAAATTTATTTCTTTTTCAAACTTCTCCTATGAACTACCAGAGAGATCTTGGACAAGCTTGTTCTCCCTCCTTGCGTTCCCTCTGTAACCCCTGAATATGATTCCGATCATGTTCTGAAGTACTAGGATTTGTGAACAAAATGGTCATTTTCTGGGAAAATGAAACATCTATTTCAGCCTTGTCATTGTGAAAAACAATGTGATAGATAAAGAAATGGGGCTAAGATTTTAAGAGGCATTGAGAAGAGGGGAATTAAATATGACAGAAGGCCAATCAAAACAACATTAACGCAGGAAGTGTCCCCTCAAGGGTGAACTTCTAACCTGGAGTTATAGACAAGGGGGCTGAGAGGCAGCCCAGAGTGCCTCTTGTCCAGTACCCCTAATCCAGCCCTCTGGGGGCCTATTGATGGCAGGCCTCCTAATCACTAGGCCGGTCTACAGATAACGGGATCTAAACTCTTTGAAATTAGACTGGCATATTTCCAAAGGACTCATTAAATATAGAGCAGCTTTGCTGCCTTGCAGTTATTTAGCAAAGGTTACAAGGACAAAAAGGCCTGCTATCCACATACACTCATGACCCACTGGGATATGGATTCAGAACTCGATGATGAACCTTTTCTTAACCCTCTAGTTCCAAGGAATGTCTTCTAAAGAACACATTTCCTACTTTAAGGATTCAGCAGCAATACAAGAATCTGCCAATGCCCTGCCTGACGTTAATATTGATTTGTTTAAACTGGTAAGGGAGGACATTATGAAGAAAGACCTTTTATCCACTCAGTTCTTTGGCAATTATCTTTCTTCCATAAATGTTGATACACATATAATGGCTGTAACTAAAAAAAAATCTTCTTATCCAGGCAAAAAAGGTTGAGTGTTTGTTGGAGCAGATAGAATGCTGAGAGCGTGAGTAGACCAAGGCAGATGTCACTGGAGAGGGAGATAAATGATGGAGGGAGAGGAGCTGGTTACTATGGATCAGCACAATGAACCTATTCCCATTCCTACACCTCTCACACCACTACCACGGAGGAGTGGGTAACCTAGGCAGCACCAGTCAACTGGATGGCAGGAAAGAAGCATTACAAAGCTTACTTGGAACTAGTATGATTTTAAATTTTTTAGACATCAAATCCATAAACATCTTTAGGACTTTGTGAAGGAAAATTTCTCAAATGC